GTTTTGAAAATTTTGCCCTTAGGGGTAGCGGGGGTAGGGAGTAGCTCAAAATTTTCAAATAGCAAGTATAGTCGAGTTTGGTATGATTTTTTAGGTCTTGATGAAACATAACAATTAACATAAAGAAAATAGAAATCGGACCATTAATAACAAAATGGCAGCGCAAAATTACTTTGAATAACCATTGTCTCAATCATTTTTAGCTGCCATTTTGTTATTAATGGTCCGATTTCTATTTTCTTTATGTTAATTGTTATGTTTCATCAAGACCTACAAAATGATACCAAACTCGACTATACTTGCTATTTGAAAATTTTTAGCTATCCCCTACCCCCGCTACCCCTAAGGGCAAAATTTCAAAATTGACCATAATTATTGTAGCCCGTCATATCTAAGAAGGTTGCCGCAAACCGATTTCAAATATCTCAAATGGTTGAAAAGTTAAGTGGGGGTGCAAGTTACTTTTCAGCCACCCTGTATATAACAAGGTGTATATCGACCGGGAAATCCGGGAATCATGCGGGAGATCTTTGAACCGTGAATTTTGTATTCCTACCTGGAGTTTTCAATTTACCGTGATCGCTCATGACAACAGTGACGTTTCCGTGATCGCTCATGACAACAGTGACGTTTCCGTGATCGCGCATGACAACAGTGACGTTTCTGTGACCGCAGGAGACAATAATAAATGTCTACACACGGCCGCGAGGGATGATCAGAATTTTCCGCGATCGCAGAAGACGATGATGGTATCTACTATCTACAGATGAGCCGCAACGGATGACCAGAATATTACCACAATCACGGAAGACGATTGATGTCCACACGACCGCGGGAAACCTCAAGAACTTTGCCGCGATCGTGGAAGACGCCCGCAATCGCTGGAGACGATTACCATGGATTCATGACTGCGGGATACGTACGATATCTACAGGACCGCGGGAGATATAATAACTATTTCTACACGGCCACAAGGGATGCTCAGAATATTGCCGCGATCACGGAAGACGATGATAATGTCCTCACGACCGCGGGAAAATATCAGAATTTTGCCTCATTTGCGGTAGATGATCATAATCTCCTCACGACTGCGGGATACGTTCTTATATTGCCTCGATCATGGAAGACGATAATTTTATGTCCAAACGACCTGACTGCAGAAAATAGTAAGAATCTTGCTGCAAACGCGGGAGACGATTACGATGCCTACACGGCCGCGAGTGGTTATCAGAAGTTTACCGCGATATCATGCAAATACTACCACGAATTTTTTTTTAATTTCCAAATTTTTGGCGCCCCCCAAAAAAGCCTATTGCCTCGCGCCCAAGGCACGTGCCTACCGTGCCTATTCGGTAAATCGGCCCTAGGGGGGGGGGGGGGAGTTTGGGTTGCTAAGTTTCATGTAAGGTATTTTTTCAGTAAGTGAAGAGAATAACGCCATAATTAACTAAGGCAAAAACCCCTGTACAGTATGATATGTGCACATAAATATCCTTCATTCAATATTAAAGAGGCTATGGTCACATAACATCAGTCAAAAATGTATCAAATTAAAATAAATTTGATTTTAATTTCTGGCCCTCATTTACACATATCAATTCTAGATAAACATAAAACATAACATATGACTTAGAACGTAATACGTAGAGCTATTGTTTTTACTAAAAAAGATTAAAAAATAGTGCAGACATACACTACTTGTTAGTGGATTCCAAGACAAGTGTAATGCGAAACTCGTCTTTTATAACATCAGACTATAAGTTATAGCCTAAGTCAAAAATGAAAAGCGATAATTTATTCAATGTAATGACTAAGATTTTATTTTAAAAAGAACATTAGGCTACATGGTAAATCCGACATGGGAAAATAACAACATTTTATCCTTTAAAAATGTTAACATAAAAAAATCATATATGCTTATCAAAATTAGCATGGGAAGTGTGATATGCCACATAAAAGGTCACAGCACTTCTGTAGGCTGCAGAAATGTTGTGCCATAGGGGCAGAAACTATCTGGTAACAGACCCGTCTACAAAAAGACGGAAATTCCTCCTTCTTGTTTGCAATAGCTAAAACCTTTAAGCGAATATAGTCTATTGTTTTTCAACTAAAAAAAAGAAGCAGATTAGATTATTCCTCGCTCCTGTGGGAAGGGTTTATTTACACTCCTTTTAAAAACTTTATTTGACAGAATCAAATTCATTAAGATTAATAACTTGTTTTAATTTGAGATTGCATGTTTATTTCATAAACTATCTTTAAACTGAAATAATTAATTTAAATATTCACCTTCCCTGAACTGGAACTTGAGAAGTGTAAACTTTGGCCCAGTCTACATCCTGAGTCATAAGATGTTCCATTATATATTGCCTAGAAACACACAATTATCAAATAAAAATACCTCTAGGTGCAAATAAAAAGGTTTAAATTCCTGCTGTACTGTCGGTGATCCAGTTTTAAGCCAGCGACCAAGGTTTTGAAACTAAAGGTTCATTTTCAATCTAAAAAGTTAACAAAAAAAGTTACCAAGTTAAAAAGTCCTCTTCCTGGGTTGTAAAGGCTCATCAAATACTTGTAACAATTATCGTCGACTAAAACCCGGATCACTGACAGTGCCGCAGGTATTTCACCTTTTTATTTGTAAAAATGTGATCCAAAGGCTAAACTTGTTCACCTGCTGTAGATACATATAGTACATGAATAACTAACTGTCAATGGATGCAATTTATGACAATAATTATACCAACTTAACTGGAGAATTTCTAAATAAACACCTTAGTCTACCTCATTAGGATAATCCACCAGCCCACAAACATAATCTACTGGTTAATTAGATTAAAGTACTGGTTTTCTTTTAAAAGGAAAGTAAGTTTCTGATTGGGATTTTTAACTATGATAGAGTTCATCTAGCTTACCGGGAGAGAGTAGAGTCGAGGGGCTGATAGATAAACAGTCACAAGCTTTGAGCTAATAAAAGCCACAATTCTTAACGCTGATATTTTGCTCTAATATATGTAACCTTCAGAGTAGATTCATAGACAAAAGAATTATTCCTAAATATAAGACTGACAGCAGTGCTGCGGTTAGCATAAATTCTGGCGCCCACCGCTGGGAGTGCCATGTAGTTTCGGCGCACACCGCTGCAGCGTCATGCGCTAGCAAGTGTTGCTATGACAAGTTGATAGTTGGAGCCAGGGTTGCCAACTTCTAAAGAATTCCCGGAATACAAGGAGTAGGAATTGGTTCTGTTATTTTTTGTGTTTTAAAAATCTTTGGGGTTTTTGAAAAAATGGGCTTTTCCGTTAAAACTACAGGATTTCAGAATTTTCGGGTCTGATACATTGGTAGCATTTCGTTTGCAAGGGTGGTAGTACTAGGTTGCAGACGGTGAATTGACGACAGCGAATCGACAAACACTAAGCACGCTCTAGCGGCACATCACCGGAACCTTCCTTTGTCAGTATATTTAATTATTTTGTCTATGGTAGATTGGAGAAGTTTTGTCCAGAATCAGTTTCGTGTTTTGTGACTTGTTATTTTGTATTATTAGCCACTGGACTCTAACTTGCTCAGGTAAGCTAGGTGGTCTCTCTCCCCTTTTAAATCCTGATTAGCAAAGTAAATAACATGTAACAAATTACTTACGCAAACTCAAGACCATCTCCACCACTTGTGCAGACTATTCTCACAAACTCTTCATCAGAGATAAAGTCCTTGGTTAGATTAGGACACCCAAGTAGTATATTGTACAACACCATCATGCAGATATTAGTCAGTTTTTCATCTCCGTGTGTCGCCATTTGTCTGAAATATTCAAATAATTCTTTGAAATATATATTTAAACCGCTAACATAATATGTAAATGAACGCAAGCTAAGTCAAAATGCAGAAAAGAGAAAAACGAATACCCATCATATTGAAATGCCACCCGAATCACAGCAGGCCTATGTTTTGTACACAGAACATCAATAGAACAGGAGAGAATTTTTTATGATTACCCTACTATTGATTCTTGTTATTTAACTAACTTAATTTTTTCTAAACTATCTAAACAAAATTAAATTATGTGTTTACAAACAATAGTTGTCTTCTGCTTGCATTCATAAACAAACAGCAAAAATAGTACACAAAACAAAACACACATAGAAAAGACTACAGTTTATAATAATAGCAGGAGAAGTCTACTTTCTCTATTCAAAGTCAATGCTTAAACCATACGTAGCCAAATGTGATATCATTCAGATAAAACATTAAGATGAAAACTCGACACTTTTAGTATCTAAAGTCAATGTTAACATATACTCACTTTAACTGAGAGCAGCATTTGGTCCACACAATCCGCTGTGTTTTGGGGTTGTTTACAATGAGATTCCCCAGGAACTGAGCACTGATCCTCAAACATAACGTCCAATCGTCTCCCCTCTTATCCAAACTTTTGTTGATTGCAAGATTGGCGTCATTCAGAACGGATAACTCCGCCAGAGAGCTTTGTACCTGAGGAATGTCAATATGTATCTTTTCACACTCAACGCTGATATTATTATTACGAAATAGGGTACTGTAAAAAACTTAAGGAATATGCCTAGAACAATATATCTAATTCCTGTGAAAGATCTTCTGCTAAAAAATACTCCATTACAGCACTCTTTGGGTTCCTTTATAACAATCTGAAACAAAGTAATTCATTATTTTTTAGCAATCTGTTGCCCGTCTCACTGTCTTTTGCCTGCTAACCAATACAGTTTTTTTTCTTTCTTCAAGGGTCGTTTATTAAGTAAACGCCTTTATTTTTTTGTGCGTAGCCTATAGCTTCTTAGTTTACAAATACATCACATCGAGACTCCTTGTCACTTACTTAGTGGTGGGAATCACCGAATGAAATTTTATCCTGGTTCGGTTAAATTAGTCTTACCAAGCGATTCGGTGATTTAGTTATTTAGTTGATTTAGTTTGTCACATCATCGGGAAACTAAAATTTATTCGGTGATTCGTTCGACTAAAAATCACCGATTGACGCTAAAAGACTAAATGCCATTCCGTTTCCCATAAGATGAAAATTAGTTGTGTTTTGTGACAGTGAATAATGACTAAAACTGATTCGGTGATTCATTCAACTAAAAACAACCGATTGACGCAAAAAATAACTGATTGATTATTCGGTCATGGAAACTATTCGGTTATCCCATCACTACACTTACTGGCATCATTTGTGAACATAAAGGCTGCCATCTGCAGCTCTGTAGCTAACATGTACACTTTGCTGTGTGTCTAAGAGAGCATTTTTTAAGTAATTGAATCTACCGCCACATGCAAGATAAGATCAGTGAAACATTTTTACTACAAGAAATACATCAACTGCTGATGTTTTTCGCCGGACGACAGAAGTTTATGGTCCTAATGCAATCAGTAGGGGTAAATTGCAGAAATGGGTTAGGCTGCGAAATGTCCGTTCGGAAGAAAATATATTTTTTGTTAGTTCCCAGACTTCTCACAGAACACCACAAAGGAGAAAGGTTTTCTTTTTACATGCATTTTCACACTCCCTAATCCATTCCTGGACTTTACCCAACTCATTGCATTAGGGCCATAACCTTCAGTCATCTGGCGATGAATGTCGGCATCGGATACATTTTTTGGGGTAATAAAACGTATCACTGACTTATCTCACATATAGAGATTCAAAAACTTTTAATTTGTCTTAATGCACAGTGGATCGCCATTCTGCACCAATGATGCTAGTAAGCGGCGAGCTGCCTAGTTTTGCACACTAGGGAGCTAACATAATACGCTAAAAACGGCTTTTAGTTAAAAATCGCTTCATGTATGTTGCACGTTTTTATGTGTTTTTTTAGCCTCATAAAGCTTACGCGAAACGTCAATTTCCTTTGTTGGTAGGTAAGTAGGCCTACCGGTAGGCCTAAATGATAAATTATTAATGTTCAAGCCTTTATTTAACACTAAGTTAAAGTTCAAAAGAGTTGTGTAACCACCAAATTATTGTTTTATGCCTGCATAAGAATACATAATCCTTGGTTGCTGAAGTGGAAACAAGGACTAGTTATGGTTCATGGATGAACCATCTTCAGTGTAATCATTCCGTTCCTATGTGATGTGTTAAGTTATTCAAGCATTTGTATTAATTGAACTTACTTTTAATTACCTTATTACGTTCAAGGCCTAGGCCTACCTCAGAATTACCAGCACAGATTTTTCTAAGGCTTCAAAAACATATTACGTACCTCAGAATTTACAGCGCAGTTGTTTCTAAGGCTGCGAAAACAATCGGTCAAGGTGTCTACCGGAGGTGTGTCTTCTAAAACGAGCCGATGTAATAAGTCTGCTGGATCATCCATTCCGCAGTTCTATCCTGGTAATCAAGACCAATTCATTAATACTAAGGCAAAAATGTGGTTCGGATTCCACTATAAACTGTAGGTCCCTTAGTTGCCATTAGCTGTACCGGCTATTGATTAACACAGCTGTGTCTAAGGAATATGTCGGCCTTAGTCACTAACAAGACTACAAGATCGCACCACTCATCCTACACTCATCTCCATTCATACTTGCTGGCTTAAAATAGGTTACCACTTTGTATGGTCGCCATTTCAATGAAAAGTAAGAAAAAACCTTTGGAAAATAAGGTGGGAAAACATTATATGATGTGGAAAGCAAAAGAGACCTCTTGTCGGGGATTTTTGATTTTGAGTTATATATAGCCTATAATATATTTCAATTCCTTATTAAATTCTGAATCACTTGGTGCAAGTCCCATGCATCTACGATTGTTTTTTGGGTAAGTTATAGGACTTTGAAATGATGTTATGGAAAAGGGTCATTTTGATCAAAAACTACGGGATTTTGAACATTTAAAATACGCATAAAAACAGTTTTTTTTTTTTTTATTTAAGAAACAATTTTGGTATCAAAATAATTAAATAAAGCTTATAATGTCTTCTTTGGAGGCAAAACCAATTTTTGTCTTAACTCACGATAGTTTTAATTCAAATAATTGTTTTATCGAAGCATTTCGTAAAAATCATATTTCAGAAAAGGGACCTGATGTTATACCTGTATTATTTCTCCATACATATTTAATAGGCCAACATGAGTTTTTAGATAATTGTTTTGAAGCTGTCACACATCCGATGACCATGTTTAAGGTGTCATTGGATAAGTTATGGCCTGTAGATTTCCTATCAAACAAAAAATCTTTCATCAGGGCTTCTTAGGGAGAAACTGTTTGTTTACATTTGAACAGATGAATACTTTGAAATTTAATTTACACTAACTAGCTGTTACCCACGGGCTTCACCCTGTTTGACTTCATAAGTATTAGCCTATCATTGACTAATTGAGCGGAGCGAGCGAAGCTCTTATACGTCGACTCTTATGCATTTCGTAATACGCAAACTCCTCCTAGACGGCTGAATCAATTGTTTTTAAATTTTGCATGGTGATGAAGACCACATCGGTGAGTGCCAACATCTATATGGCGTTAAAAAAGTCTCTCAGGAATCCGCCCCACTGGGTCTCAAAGTTTCAATGTAGTCCTTATGGAAGCAGTATTTGACACATAAACAAAGACATATGATCAGCTGTTGACTTTTAAATGCACTAGATAAAGAAATAGCTGATAGCATTATTTCACAGATATTAGAACAGAAACGGTATGGACCATTTAATATAATCAAATGACGACACTAGCTTGAGGTCCGTGACGTTATTAAGTGGTTAAGGAAGTAGTAAGGCGAGCAGTCTGGAGTAGCCTATGGACACCGTTTATGACGATTAGATTAAGGTATCTGCATTCCTAAAATTCTATGGGAAGGGAGGAAAACAGGTCCGCGACGTAGGAAGTGGTGAAGGCAGTAGTAAAGGCGAGCAGTCTGGAGTGTGGAAACTTTTTATGACGATTAGATTAAGGTATCTGCATTCCTAAAATTCTATAGGAAGGGAGGAAAACAGGTCCGCGACGTAGGAAGTGGTGAATGAAGTAGTCAAGGCGAGCTGTCCGGAGTGAGGGAACTGTTTATGACGATTAGATTAAGGCATTGAGCCGACCCCTCGCACCGCCCCCAGACGAACAACTGAAGGAAGCATGCCCCCCATAGTGACAGTGCGAGTGGTCGCCCCACAACCCTGACAAAAGTGAAAGGCCGTGGGTGAACATCAAAGCAAAACAAAGAATTGTGAACAAAAGCCTATATATTTATCAAAATCAACAAACGCCGGCCTTCTGGTGAAAATGTGACAGAAGGCGGACATTGACTCTGGGTTGCAGGATTGCTGCCCGACCCAAACCGACTGAGTTCCGGCGCAAAGCCAGTACTCACACTATACAAAAACACTGAGGCGTGACATTGGTGGGACGCTTGGTGGGCAAGTCACGGCTCAACCTCCCCCCCCAAAGGAGGACTTCCTCTCCAAAAAAAAGAAAACAACCTCTCCCAATTCTAGAAGATCTCAACACCACAGATCAACTCAAGTGTCTGAAGTGGGGAACGCCAAAAGTCTTTCAACTGGAGGGACAACTCACCCCCAGGGTTTGCACTGGCCAGTGCTGGAAAATTTACTAGGGAAAAATCTTCAGCAGCGCACAAGGGACAGAAGAGGTGATCAAGCTCTCTGGCCCAGTGCACTTCCCACTCAGACACAAGAGTAACGAAAGATGACCTACGGAATTGTTCCCCGGAAAGGCTTCAGATGAGAAATGTGAGCCCTCCGGAAAACTTCTCCAGTCTGCGGATTTCCAAGCCGCACGGAGACAGGAGTCAAGAACTTCAAGATGCGGTGGGGACCTGACCACCGATGAGACAACTTAGCGGCTCTCTTGTCCACGGCCGAACTGACCGGATGAGCCTTGCAGAAAACCAAATCCCCCACCTGGAAAGGATTGTCCAACCGACCTCGATTGTGCTTCCTCCGAACCAATTCCCTAGCTCTTATCAAGTTCCTCCTAGCCGCCTGCCAAGTTGCCTTGACATTGGCAGCACCAGGGGGTGGCAGAAGATCGCCAATTTTCCACACATTTGCCAAGGGATTATTGGGTGGATAGCCCAACAACAGCTCGAAAGGGACCGCCTTGTGACTCTCATGGTGTGCAGTGTTGAAAGCAAATTGAATCCAAGGAAGTTCCTGATCCCAGGTGGTCTGCTTGTCAGCATGAAAAGCTATGAGAGCGGATCGAAGGTTTCTGTTGAACCTCTCAGCATGGGAAGGCTGTGGATAGTAAGGAGAAGTGGTCACATGGCGGATACCGTGCCCAAAGCACATTCTTTTGAAAAGGTGAGACACGAACTGAGTTCCGTTGTCAGAAACAATGGTGGCGGGTATTCCAAAGTGTTGGAACAAATGGGTACGAAGTGCCTGCACGGTGAGCTGTGCAGTGGCGTTCCTCAAAGGAAAAAGCCAACAAAACTTGGAGAAGGCATCCACACAAACAAGCAAGAATTTGTTTCCTGACTTGCTACGTGGGAGAGGCCCTACATAGTCTATGAAAACCTTCTCCAAAGGTCTCTCCGCCACCTCAGATGACAACAACCCATACTTGGTATTCTGAGCAGGCTTGCTTAGCGAGCATGTTTGACAAGAACGTACTCGTGCCGCAATGTCCCTGTCCATACCCTTCCAGATGAACATGTCCCTAACCTTCGCAATGGTCTTGTGAATCCCTAAGTGCCCACCCACAGGGGAAGAGTGAAAGTACGCAAAGACCATGGGTACAAGAAGACTAGGCAGCACAACCTTGGGTTTACCTCGCTGTCGGTCTCGACAACAAAGGGCACCCTGGGACAGAAAATACGGGGGGTGGGCTCCCCCGTTTTGAAGCTCACCAATGATCTTAGCCAGCTCGGGATCTTTTAGCTGATGTGGGATGAACTCAGAAAAGGCAAGGGGAAACTCCAGGAGCACGGCACACCCAGTGTGCTCCTCCTGATCAGAAGGTTGGTCGTCAGGTGAATGATACATCCTGGATAAAGTGTCAGCAATCACATTCTGCGTGCCTCGAACATGTTGCACTTGGAATTTGAGGGAAGATATTTGGACCACCCAACGACCAATTTTCCCAAGCTGGCGAGGATGTGCAAGGAGCCACGAGAGTGCTTGGTTGTCGGTTTCCAGCAAAAACTCTTTATGTTCCAAAAAACGTCTGAACTTATTCACTCCAAACACGACAGCCAAACACTCTAACTCATACACAGAAGAGCTTTTCTTTTCGCATGGGTTCAAAGTGCGTGAGGCATACGCAATTGGCTGCCTAACACCATCTACCTCTTGAGACAACACAGCCGCAATAGCGACGGAGGAAGCATCGGTTTGCAAAACAAACTTTCGACTGAAATCTGGCATCGCCAAAACTGGAGGTTGCATGATAGCTTCTTTCAGAAGATCAAAAGACATCTGTTGTGCTTCACCCCAAACAAACTTGGCGCCCTTCTTCCGAAGCTCATTGAGAGGAGCCGCCAACTCAGCCACATTGGGGATGAAACGCCGGTAAAAACCCACCATTCCAATGAAACGGGCAATGCCTTTGACATCTCTGGGAGGAGGAAAATCCCTGATACCCTGGGTTCTAGCCGGATCGATACAGACACCTCGTGAAGATACTAGATGACCTAGGAAAGAAATCTCAGCCTGAGCAAAACTAACTTTCTCCGGATTTACGGTAAGGCCAGCCCTAAGCAACCTATTCATGACTTCCTCAAGATGAACCAGATGGTCTTCAAAGCTCTCACTGTACACCAAAAGATCGTCAAGATAGTTGAACACAAATTTGAACTTGACGTCATGAAAGATGGAGTCCAGAAGTCTGGTGAGGGTCTGGGCCCCCACAGCTAGGCCCATGGGAACACGTGTGAACTGGTACAAGTTCCACGGGACGCAGAAGGCAGTGAGAGGTCGAGATTCAGGTTTCAAAGGAATCTGATGGTAAGCCTGGTTCAAATCAAAGACGGAAAAATACTTGGCCTTACCGAACCAATCGAACGCAGAGTGCAAATCAGGGAGAGGGACAGAGTCAATTTCAATCTGAGCATTCAACTTGCGATAATCTAGAACCATTCGAGACTTGCCATTTGGCTTTGGAACTAGAAAAGCTGGACTAGCGTAACTTGAGCGAGAAGGCTCAATTACCCCATTTTCAAGAAGCTCATTGATGATTCCACGGAGTGTCTCCATTTTGGGTGGAGCAAGCTTGTAAGGATGAGAACGAACTGGACGGGTGTCAGTCAAACGGATTTCGTACTCCAAAAGGTTGGTGACTCCAAGCTTTGGCGTCAGCACCTCAGGAAAACGAGAACACAAGGTTCTGATTGCTTCAGCCTCACCAGGAGTCAGATGCCCTAATGGATCAACTTTTGGTTTGCT